TTGCAGGTATCTGCCCATCGGACCCCTGAAATGATGTATTCCTATGCTCTGTCCGCTGTAATAATTGCGGGTGCTGGGGGTGCAGACCACTTGCCTGCTATGGTATGTATTTACTACAAATACTCGATGAACATTTTGAATTTATGACGACTAGGCATGGTTGCTGCATTCACTCCATTACCAGTTATTGGAGTTCGAGTACGAGCTTCTGCTATAGATGGAATGGACTCTCTATTATCCATTGTTCGTTCAGGTATTACAAATTCTCTTCTTTAGATCATGGGATTAACTTTTTAAGTCAAATATTAGCTCCATTCTAAGTGACATTAATCTTTCCTGCATAAGCTCAAGAAACAAGAGTATCTGAGCAAGCAAAGATAAAATATTGGTTGCTTGCTTCATTTTCTTCCATGTGAAATGTTTCTGACACTACAGTATCTCCAAGAAATGCCATATTATACCACAACCCCTTTCCAGATTCAATTATGAGGATCAAAGAAGCCCAAAAGAAATGCCTTTCGAAATAGGTCGACGGGAGTATTACTTGATGAAGAGATATCCTCATTTTCTCTCGAGAAATAATGCAAAATTGAAATTCACTTAAGGCAAAACTTTGCATGTACTTAATAATTATACAAATAACGTCTTAGATTATAATGTTGGTTCAGATTATATTATATTATTATGTTAATATTTAGGTGAGATGAATTGTATATGCAGTAGTGTAATGTGCGTGCACATGAGTAGTGCCAGGGGCTTGAGAAACTACATAGTACATACCTCGTATTTGACTTTGGGAGAATTGACTGAAATTGGGCTGCTGGAACATGCCGTTGATTGCGCCGCCTACTCCTATGTTACCACCATATAGTGCCAAAAAAAAAAAAAAAAAAGAATTATTATACAGAAATAGAATTTGTCTAGTTCACATTTTTAGGTAATATAGAGAGTAGTGATAGTGATAAGTTTTTTTCATTGGCCAGAAAAATGTAACTTTGCCCACAAATATCTACAATTTTAATAAGAGCCAATAATGTTAGGCCCTTAACTGGAATAAAAAAATGTCAGTCCTAATTGTTTCTTAAAATGAATGGTTCATATTATTTTAATTTTAGTATTTCTTAATAATTTTCTTTATTTACCCTTTATTATATTATTTTCTTCCTTTAAATAACCTTAAATTCCGTTAGTATAGACTTTCTTAACGGAATATTCAGTTAACTATTTATTATTCTTAACTTACTCATTAATTTCTATATGAAAGGTCTTAGGGTTAAACCACATTCCAATTAGAGTTGGCATAATTGTTAAACATATTCATAATATGAATATGTTACAAAGTAATAAAAAATTTAATATAAACTTTGGTCGAATAATTAGCTCATCTAAATACATAGCATTCAATGATTATAAACCAGGAACTTTGAAAATCATTTGATTTTCTTTCATTTAAAAAAAAATAAATTTAAGTTAAATTTTTTTTTCGTTTAATTAATCTTATTTTGATTATTGAGAACAAAACTTAATATTTTAATTATGTTTTTTATCAATGCATGAAAACTTCTAAAAAATTAAAATTTATAAGTTAATTTTGACTATATTTTTATAACAATATATATTGTAACTTTATATTTTGAATTATTTATTATCATCCTCTATTGATAATAATTGTCATTGACAAACTCTCAAAACAAATTGTTTCAACAAGTGGAAATAAAAAAAATCAATGATTTCATTATTGTGTATGAAAAGTATGTAGGTCATTTTATTGCTCTTATTAAATTAAAAAATAAATTAGTAGCTACAATAAAAATAATACATATGCATTTAATTAATTTAGAATTAGATGTCTATAATGCCTTTATTTAAAATGAATTATTCGTTATAAAAAAATTAAAAAGAGATATAATTTTATTAGTTATATTATATTTATTTGGGAAAAGTGTCAAATTGGCCCCATAAATTGACCAGATAGTGTAATTGGGTCCCCTAACTAAAAAAAAAGCTCCATTCAGATCCCCTAAACCTGTAAAATTGTTCAATTAAGTCCAAAGTGACTTGTTTAATAGGTTAAATCTTCATATTGTTGATACGTGTCATTTTAAAATAATTTGTTTTTTGTTTTTTTTTTAAATTATTTATTTATTAAAATATATATTATATTTAAAAAAAAATTTAAAAAAAAAAAAAAAAAAAAAAAAAACACACACACAGCCACCTAAACAGCTTTGTGCGTTTTCAAAAAAAAAAAAGTGCTTTGTTTTTTTGTTTTTTTTTTTTAATTTTATTTTTTATATATAATATATACTTTAATAAATAAATAAATAAATAAAATTTAAAAAAAAAAACATATATTTTAAAATGACATGTGTCAACAATGTGAAGACTTAACCTGTTAAACAAGTCACTTTGAACTTAATTGAACAATTTTACAGGTTTAGGGGATCTGAATGAAGCTTTTTTTAGTTACGGGACCCAATTGCACTACCTGGTCGACTTAGGGAGCCAATTTGACACTTTTCCCTATTTATTTTATACAATTCAAAGATTCTTTACCTCCAATACTTTCACATGATAACCTATGACACACATCTCACAACACATGAAACATGTAGGGGAAATTAAACTATCACTATCAAATATCAACATGTGCTTGTAAGATAAAGAGTTCATAGCACAACTAAAATCACAATCATATACACAACAAGGCAAATATAAAGCTTCCTACACCATAATCTCATTACATTATGAATCCCTCTCTATGCTACCAACAATAACCTAATTGCACATGACATACTACCAAAACATGTACTGAAGATGAAGACAATGATAATGCTACCCAAACGAGAATTAGAGAAATTTAAACAAAAAATTGTATTTATTTAGACTATCGCTTTTAGACCAGTGCTATTTCAATGTTGCAAACATTTATTTTGGAATAAGGTTCAAATTGGCCGTTGAACGTAACAAGAAAATGCAATTATGTCACTGATCACTCTAAAAACGTGCAATTAAGCCACTGAACACTCCAAATGTATGCAATTTCACCGGATAGCATGTTACCATCAATTTTAGCAGGTTACCTACTTACGTGACAGCTGAGTTGGCATTTTAAATAATTTTTAATAAATTTTAATAATAATTTTTTAAAAAATTGAAAAAATTTAAATAAAGAAAATAAAAATAAAATAGACGGGGTAGCCGACGGCCACCTTGTCGTTTTTATTTATTTATTTATTTATTTGTTTTAATTTTTTTAATTTTTAAAAATTTATTATTAAAATTTATTAAAAATTATTAAAAATGCCTACTCAGCTGCCACGTAAGCAGGTAACCTGCTAAAATTGATGGTAACCTCCTATCAGGTGAAATTACATACATTTGGAGTGTTCAGTGGCCTAATTGCACCTTTTTTTTTTCGTTCAGTGATCTAATTGCATTTTCAGGTTACGTTTAGTGGCCAATTTAAACCTTATTCCATTTATTTTTGTGACAGTTATATATAATCAATCTCTCATATATTATCTTACATTTATATACTTTAAATTACTGATTTAAATAAACAAATTCAACATTTATTTACCTAATATTACATTGATATACTTTGAAATACTTATTTAAAAAGAATCATTGGGCATTATCTCACTCGCGCAAAGCGTGTAGAAAAACTAGTAACTAAATATACTTTTTTACAGGAAAATCGTATTATGTATAGAGTATAATGGTCACATTGCACCTTGTGCTCAGATGACATCTAGTGACTCTTTCATATGGGAGGTCATGAGATCGAGCCTTAATAGAGGCGGAGGCGGTGTTGACTCCTTTGTGCTTCAACAAGTTGAGAAAGTATAAAGTATAGATGAACAGATACTATAATGTTATAGAGTCAGTAGCATTAAAAAAAAACATCAAATTTAGCATGATACAACTGTATAGAATTAATTTTATTTTTTGTTCTATATTTATATAAGTGACAATTCATTTTTAGTCTTTCTTTTTCAAAACTTCCTTTTGGGTCCTGGTATTATTGTGACATGACTATTTTTTGTTTTCCGTCAACAAAATCGTTAAAATTTTGTTAAATACAATGACATTTTGATCTTTTTTTTTTGTTTTTTTTTTTAATACAAAATGGGTTGACATGCTATATTATTATTATTATTATTTAAAAAATCATAATTGAAGACCTAAATGCCCTTGTATTTTACGGCTTATCCAACGGCTTTGATATGTTCGCACGATTGCACGAAAAGCAATAGCTGTACAAGATCTTGCCCCTATACATATATATAATTTTTTGTTATACCAAGTACTATCAATATGAATGTTAATAATATCATGTACAATTACAACATGGTTAAACATCTCTCAACAATATTTTTTTTTTCTCCATGTCATCTTTTCATCTATTTTATATACAGTAACAAATAAGTAAAAAAATAAAAATAAAAATAAAAATCTATCATTGGAAAGTGATAAAGCCACTTTTAAAGTCACAACACCCACTAGGCAGCTATGTGCCTATAATATTGTCAAAGCGAACCTCTAAATTTCCATCATGCCCTCACCATATTAGGTGGTGAGACGACCATACAAGTTAAAATCATTTTAAAAGATTAATGTGATGAACTTCATGCCAAAGACTTTGTAGCCAAACGCACCCTTTACATGTAACACAGTTAATAGTACTAAAAAAAAAAATATCCTCACTCACTTTTTTTTTTTTTTTTAAATTATCTTATTTGATTCTTAATCTCAACAAATAATAATTATATTACTTAAAAAAATAAAGGAAATTAAATTATAGTCCATATACAATTACATCTCCAATTGAATTTTAGGCCAAAGACAGTAGCCACGACCAAGTTGTCGCCAAAAGGACAAGAACAAGAACAACAACATTAACAACAAACTAATCGCCTTGTCCATTTGTTTGGAAACTCCGACCCGAACGCGTTTTCTTTTCTTTGTTTATATATCCAAAACCCAATCATCATTACTACGCACACACTAAGTAGGCAAGCAAATTGGAGTAAATATGGGGGTGTAATGTAAACTAGAGCTTTCATTGCATTTACTGAAACCCCCCGCCATTAAAGAGGGTTGGACCAAGTCTCATCTTTGCTCAGCTCTAGTTGTCATCAAGATTTCAACTTTTTTGCTGTTTGTATTTTATTGAATTGAGACCTCTATGACCCTCCATTTGGAAGCACCGAAATTTGGGCTCAAGACTTTTTTTTTTGGGGGTGCCTCTATCTATCTGTCTGTATGATCATCAGGAGGGAGGTTGCCTTTTTCTTTCTTTTCTGCACTTCACAGATTCATCCCTTCTTATATATATGTTGATTATTTTCAATTCTTGTGCTTTTATTGAGAATTCTATTGTTGTACATATTCACTTTGGTGCTAAATCCCATTGATAGGAATCATAGGGTACTGTTTTGGTTGTTGAGTTTTGATTTGAATCTTTCTTGATTGCTAGAGGAAGTTTGTGTTTTGATTTTGTGTATATTGGGTTGATTTTTGTAAGAGTTGACAACTTTTGGTTTAGCAATAAGTATGGGAGGAGCTTTGTGAAGATTAGGGAATTGAATAGTCCTCTCTCTTATAAGGGTTTTTGGAAGTTGTGGGACTTTTTAGGAGTGTTGGACTAGATGGGGAATACATGTGTGGGACCAAGCATTTCCAAGAATGGATTTTTTCAATCGGTTTCGGCTGCAATGTGGCCATCTCGATCTCAGGCTTCCTCTGGTAATGATGACAGTGTGAGAAGCGAAGCACGAGGAGGAGGTTCTGGTAGAGAACCCGAGTCGCCTATGGTGGTTCAAAGTAAGCCACCAGAACATATGACAATGCCCAAGCCACCAGAACCCGTGGCCATGCCCAAGCCACCGGAACATGTGACAATAATGCCCAAAACGGACACGGGTGAAAAACAGGCGAGTAAGGCTGAGAAGCGTGCATACATAAAGAGGGTGCCTAGTGCAGGGCTGAGGACTAACGTGTTACAAAAGAGAACTGGCAACTTGAAGGAGTTTTTCAGTATAGGTAAGAAATTAGGGCAGGGGCAGTTTGGAGTTACGTTTCTTTGTGTGGAGAAAGAAACGGGAAAGCAATACGCGTGTAAATCCATTGCCAAGAGGAAGCTGTTGACAGATGACGATGTGGAGGATGTTAGAAGAGAAATTCAGATTATGCACCACTTGGCAGGACACCCGAATGTTATATCGATAAAAGGGGCTTATGAGGATGCTGTGGCAGTTCATGTTGTAATGGAATATTGTGCCGGAGGGGAACTTTTCGATAGGATTACACAACGGGGACATTATACAGAACGGCAGGCAGCTGAGCTTACTAGGACGATTGTTGGAGTTGTGGAAACCTGTCATTCATTGGGGGTGATGCACCGTGATCTGAAGCCCGAGAATTTTCTTTTTGTGGATAAGCAGGAAGATTCGCTTCTCAAAACAATCGACTTTGGATTGTCAATATTCTTCAAACCAGGTATCATGTCCCACTAATCTTCTGTCTACATTTATGTTTATATTATATGCTTAATAGATATACTAGTGCTCTAGTTCTGACTTTCAAAAAAAAAAGTGCTCTAGTTCTGGTTTTTGGTACTACTTAAGTGTTTTGCTTAGTTTATTAACCAATTTTTTTTTTTTGATTCTCAGGTGAAAAAGTGAGTGATGTGGTTGGCAGTCCTTACTATGTTGCACCCGAAGTTCTACGAAAGCGTTATGGTCCCGAGGCTGATGTTTGGAGTGCCGGTGTGATAGTTTACATTTTATTAAGCGGAGTCCCTCCTTTCTGGGCTGGTGAGGATTCCTTAGTTCTTTAAATTAATAATAATATCAATCATGTATTTTCTCTCATATAACTCTTCTCGGTACTAAAAATTATACAGAAAATGAGCAGGGAATATTTGAAGAAGTCTTGCACGGTGAGCTTGACTTCACATCACAGCCATGGCCTAGTATATCAGAGGGTGCTAAAGACTTGGTTAGGAGAATGCTCATACGGGACCCGAGAAAGCGTTTGACCGCCCATGAAGTGCTATGTGAGTAGCTTTCGTTTAATTGTTAGTAATATTTCCTAGAAGAATAATATATTTAATATCTAGTGGAACACTCAAACCTCGAGTATGTATAGCTTGAATTGTGTAGTATAGTACTAATCATCTATTTCCAAATCACAAACTCGAGAAAATTTTAAACTCTTTGCAGGCCATCCTTGGGTTCAAGTTGGCGGTGTTGCCCCTGACAAACCTTTGGACTCTGCAGTCTTGAGCCGAATGAAGCAATTCACTGCGACGAACAAGCTGAAGAAAATGGCTTTGAGAGTAAGAATTTATATAGATGTGTACACGTAAAAGCTATCGAGACCCACAAGGAAGTAAACCAGCCTAAGTTACCCATAGCTGACCGCCTCAAATCAAGGGGACAAGAATTCAAACTCGTGACCTTATAGTTACAAGCGTGAATCTCTTGCCATCTTGGCTGGGGTTGAAGTTGCTTGTTTAGTTAACGTGGTTCGGTTGCATATTTGTGTTATGCAGATCATTGCAGAGAGCCTATCTGAAGAAGAAATCGCTGGGTTGAAAGAGATGTTTAAGATGATAGACGCGGACAACAGTGGGCAAATCACTTTCGAGGAGCTTAAAGCTGGATTAAAAAGAGTTGGTGCCAATCTCAAGGAGTCAGAGATCTACGATCTAATGCAAGCTGTAAGTATCAACCCACCCGGACACATTCTTAAAATTCTCGTGTGTGTTTTGTAGTTTTGTATGATTCTACTTCTTGATTGTGCAGGCCGATGTAGATAACAGTGGAACAATTGATTACGGAGAGTTCATAGCCGCAACATTACATTTTAACAAAATCGAGCGAGAGGATCATCTGTTTGCTGCTTTCTCCTATTTCGATAAGGATGGAAGTGGGTATATCACAGCAGACGAGCTTCAACAAGCTTGTGAAGAATTTGGCATCGAGGATGCCCGCCTAGAAGAAATGATCAGGGAAGCCGATCAAGATAATGTAAGTTCTTCACATCCCCCCTCCCTCCCACTCGTACCGATGCTCAACAACTTATGACAAACTAATAACAATAAGTCGGGAAAGGCGAGTAGTAAACCTAATGCATTGTACACAATTTGGACAATTATCGTGCTTTTAGGTTGTTACTAAACCTTCAAAACTCGGATACTTTGCAAACTTCAATCTTTCTTTTCCATGCCTTGCACAATACAAGAACTGATACAAAAACTTAACAATGATCTCTATTAAGAGAGTCCCACATTGAAAAAATAAGAGAACATATAGGTTTATAAGGTTGTGGGTTAGACTAGCTAATTGATTGAATTCAGTCTTTTAGTGTAGTTTGACTTATGTTTACAATTTTCGGTTTGCATTATTGTGTTACACAATTGACCATTGCGCATCGTTCAACATTCATTTCAGGACGGATGCATAGATTACAACGAGTTCGTGGCCATGATGCAGAAAGGAAATCCGGTGATTGGCGGTGGAAAGATAGGTCCAGAGCGGAGTTTCAGCATCAGATTTAAAGAGGCAATAAGAGTTTAGGCTTTCAGGTTTTCCTTTTTATTTGGTTCTCTATAATTTCTAAATCTTTTTTTTTTTCTGTATCCTCAAATCTGCTGTATATTAGTGTTTTGCATTAAGGCATAGTTCTCTGGCAAACAATGGCCAGTGTTTGCTGTTGTTTTCCCAATTTCAAGATTGTATCTTCTTGTATTGCCTCTTTATAGAGCCAGCTATAATCCACCTGACTTTTAAGATACAAACTTAGAAACATAAATGTGTTTGATCTATCTATCTATTCTATTCTATATAATAAAGGCCACAGCTTTTGGTAAATAAAAAAGGATTTGTTTGCCCATTCAAAGAAAGAAGATTCTAGACAATGGTGTATTTATGAATCAATCTTTTAATATCTCTAGAAAACAATTACTTCGTACTAATAAATGAGTGTTATTTTCAAAGTGTTTTTGAGTTCATCAAAATATTATCTGCACGCTCTATGCATTATATATAGCGGAGGGTTGGGAAGTGTCCAGGTCGCGGACTGGAGCTCTCGATTGGGTTCTCAGATTCACAAAATCGATGGTGCCGATAATGGGAGTACCGGCTAAATGTAGGGACGGATCGTACACGGTTGGAGCTCCGGCGACAACATTTTTACGGAAATTTGAACGGCGATTATGAGGAAGCTTTGCTATGCAGCGCTGCTATATGTGTAGGTTGCAGCGAGGAGTGGGAGGCGTTTTGGTCGTGGGCTAGAGGTAAAAATCAGCAAAAAAGAGAAGAGAAATTCCATTCATTCTAATCAGGTTTGTTTTTTTTACATTCTGAATTCATCTTTTGTTTTTTTAAAGGTTTTTTTTGCCATTTCTTGACTGAATTTTTGAAGGCTGTTAACGAATGTGTTGAGAAGATTTTTGAAGCCTATAGTGCTATGAACCAATCTGAATAAGATTTTTTGCTTGATGACAGAAAGCCCCGTAGGTAAAATGGAATGTTATATGGGGACACTTTGCAGTAAAGAGTTGCTGAGTGGCTGAATATGGTGTGTTAGTTTTCAAAAAACTAGTGTTCTTCATTCCTATTTCAAGAGTGGTGTTATGCAATATTATATTAGTTTTTTTTTTTTTTTTTTTTTTCTTTTAGTAATTTCTTGGCTTTACCATTAAATAATTCGCAAAGAATCAATTTTCTGTAATTGCATGCAACCGACGTGTGATTGGCTTTAGTAATCCATTGCATTTAATTTTATAGATAATTTCAATTTTTAAAACATTGTTGGTTGTTGCAATGAACATAGCAAGTATGTAGAATTCGAAACGTTAGTAGCAGTATTAATTCTTTAATAGTTTACAAAAGAGGAAATTACATTTTTGGTCCTATGATTATAGGGGACGTGTTAATTTTGGTCTGTGACTTTTAAAACTAACAATTTAGTCCTTTAACTATAGACCACTTTTAATTATTTAATCATGGGATAAATTGGTCATTTCAAGTGTTTTCTATAGTTAAAGGACTAAATTATTAGTTTTAAAAGTCACGGACCGAAATTAACACGCCCCCTATAGTCATAGGATCAAAAGTGTAATTTGCTCTTTACAAAACACCATTCAAATTGTTGGTTCCGATAGGGTGGTAAAAAGTCTAGAGAGGGGGGGGGGGGTGTGAATAGACTTTTTAAACTTTTACACAATTAATAACACTTTGGTAATTTCAACTCTAAGTAACAAGATATGAAACTTAGATGCGCAGCGGAATAATTTAATCAACCAAGTGTTACGTAAAATCAAAGAGATATATCACATGCAATATTATGGATATGCTTGCAAAGGCTCAAATAATCAGTATGCAAATTTATCTCTTACCAAAAAATGTAAAGATTGAGTCTCAAACCCATAACCTCTAACTTTAATCACCTTGTTCCTTATCCACTTCACCACTTCATCTTTTGGTGTCTTCCAAGGTAAATAAATGTCAAATAGTAACATTATGGATAAGTATATTTTGCTAAGAATTCGTAGACTTTTATGGCTCGACTTGGGACTTAGGCTAATCGACAACTAGACTCAAAATAAAATAGAGGATTCTAAAAATACAAATTTGGCTCATCAAAACTATTACACTTTATTCCTAACACAAATTATAGCAAGTGGTTGATATTACCTAACTTTGGGACAATTGCAGGTGTGAAATTAGCACACTCAACTTAATACACTGATAACAGCTTAGGTACTACTCCCTCCGTCCCATTTTATCTATCTTACTTTCCTTTTTCATCCGTCCCAAAATATTGTCCACTTTCCTAAAATAAACACTAATACCTTTCTATTTTTCCCAAAATACCCTTGGATTTAAAAATTTTAATATAATCCAACTATTAGCTTTTCTAGAGAAATGTGACTAGTCAAATCAACCATACCCCTTTTTAAGAATCAAAACCAAACATGTTCCAGTATTAGTTCTCCGAATTTCCTTACTACTCCGATTATGTTTTCTAGTTTGAGTAATAAGATATGCACAAGCAGCACTCCATCTCGTCTGGATGTAGAAGCTACAGTGGCGGCATCTCACACAAAGTATGTATGTTTTGTTACTCCACTTACTGAAACTTCTAGTACCTTTTTTCCTTTGTAAAATGGAGGTGGAAAAATGTATTTCAAGCTTTGATTTCCTAAAATGGAGTATTGGAGAAGAAAAATATATTGGGTAGAAGTACAAAGGAGATGAACTCTTCTTCTACATAACTCCTACGTCATCAAAATCTGTAAAACCATTGCCACTAAGATGATTATCAAATTTTGAGAAATGAAAATCCATACAAGTTTGGCTTAGATTTGAAATGAAATAATCTAAGAAAATGTGACTAAAAGTGTTATGTCAAAGTTATGTGCAAAAAAAATTACAACTCTATAAAGGAATACCAGTCCTACGAGGAATAGTTATTGAAAAATACTAGTTCTAAAAGGATTTGTTGTTGAAGATTTTCTAGTTCTAGTTTGATGAGATCATTCTATTGTGTAATCTCAGGTTCCAAACAGTGTACTTTAAATATTGAGCTTTTAGTGGATTTAGGCAAGTTCTCAAATTGAGAAGTGTCTCGCAGATTAGGGTTGTTTGCCCAAACTGCGTTACAAATCGTCAGTTTCAACATTCACTGTGTGCTGCGCTCTACAAATTTTTCAATTAGTATCAGAGCCAAACTGCTTAAGTTATTAGCAGGATCCTAATGGAGTTTCCCAGAGAAGGACTGTCAAGCACTAGGCCACCTGCCCTCATTGGCATGAATTTTTTCTACTGGAAAGCCAGAATGCAGATATACATCTTGGCACAAGGAGAAGGTGTCTGGAATGCTATAGAAAACGAATGAAAAACTCCAGTTGATGATAAAGGAAATAGGAAACCTAAAATTGACTGGAGTGAAGAAGAAAAAACAGAATATAACTTCAACTCGAAGGCAATGGATGCAATCTATGGAGCTGTGAGCGAAGATACCTTCAAACTGATTGCCACCACTCGCATAGCCAAAATTGCGTGGAGTATATTATGTGATCATCATGAAGGGAACACGTCTGTAAGACAATCCAAATTACAGATGATACAGACAGAGTTTGAAAACTTGAAAATGGAAGAAGAAGAAAATATCACACAATTTAGTGCCAGAGTTTTAAGCATCTCTGGAGATGCGTTTAACCTAGGCGAACCTATTTCTGAACCTAGGCTCGTCAAAAAGGTCTTACGTTCCCTACCTGAGAGATTTATGATAAAGGTTACAGCCATCCAAGAAAACAAAGATCTAAACACCTACAAACTCAGTGATCTAATGGAAAATCTTCAAACATATGAGCTTGAGATACTGCAAAAAGGGAAAGATAATGACAAAGGAATTGCGTTCCAATCAAAGCAGAAAGAAAGTCTAGAAATTGATACTGAAACTATGGAACAATCAATTGCTCTCCTAACAAAGAATTTCAACAGAGTTCTCAAAAAATTCAACAAATTTAGAAACAAAAGTGCTTCAATCAATCAAGGGGACTTCCCAACTGGACAAAATCAATCTATTTCAAAAAGAAGAGACAGTTCAAATACAGAAGGAATACAGTGCTATGAGTGCAAAGGGTTTGGACACATCCAGTCAGAATGTGCTACATACCTTAAAAGAAAGAACAAGACATACATGACAACAATAAGTGATAACTCAGACAGTGAAGAAGACACCAACACCAATTTCGTAGCATTCACCGCAAATCATGAAAATAACAACGGAGAAGATATACAAGAATTACTAGAGGCATATACTCAACTACATGCCAAATGGGAACAAATCATCGAAGTAAATCTAGAACTCATGGAAGAAAATCAGTTTCTAAAAGATGAAAAAGATAGAGGAGAAAAACGGTCCAAAGAAGCTCAAAATGAATTATTAGACTCCAAAAACAGAGAGGCAAAACTGCTACAAGAAATCAAGGCTCTAACTGAAAGGCCTAGGACTCCAATCTCAGCCTCCAGTGAATACTGTCACAGACTCGGGCACATCAAAGCATATTGTTTTAAAAGACAGTATGATCTCCAATACAGACATAACAACATGAGCTGGACTGGACAGGCTCGAAATCAGAATAAGAAAATCTAGGTAAGAAAACAACAAACACAAGCTGTCGCGTATACCTCAGAAACAAGCCAAGAACAAAGTGTTTGGTATTTTGACAGCGGATGTTCAAGACATATGACAGGAGATCCACATTATCTTGAGAACATCCAGTACAAAAATGAAGGGCATGTTACTTTTGGAGATGGAGGAAAAGGACATATTATCGCAAGCGGTACTTTGAATGTCCATGGACTACCCAGATTACCAAGAGTCTTTTTGGTACAAGGACTCAAAGCAAACCTTATCAGTATAAGCCAACTGTGTGATGATGAACTCAAAGTAGAATTTTCCAAAGAGAATTGTAAAGTCTACAACCAAAAACATGAATGTGTTATGATGGGGAAAAGATCATCTGATAAAAGCTACACATGGGATGACGATCTAACCTGTCATTAATCTACCATCAATCAAACACCACTGTAGCATCAACTAAGGGGGAGAAAGACAGAGATCAAGGTTTTTGCCAAAAATTTGACAAAGGGGGGGAATGTTGATTCAAAGTGTTTTGTCAAAGTTATGTGCAAAAAGAATTACAGTTCTATAAAGGAATACCAGTCCTACGAGGAATAGTTATTGAAAAATACTAGTTCTAAAAGGATTTGTTGTTGAAGATTTTCTAGTTCTACTTTGATTAGGAATAGCTTTGTTATTCACGAATCTGTTAGGATTAGCTACTATAAATAGGGGTTGTCCTTTATTGTAGAATCTAAGCATTCAACATTAATCTTGTGAAGTACGAGAGTCTTTGAGAATAGGATACTAAATTCCCCTAGAAAGTAGTACATGTGTTTAGGTTTCAATAGTTTGATGGGAAAGATCATTCTATTGTGTAATCTCAGGTTCCAAACAGTGTACTTTAAATATTAAGCTTTTAGTGGATTTAGGCAAGTTCTCAAATTGAGAAGTGCCTCGCAGATTAGGGTTGTTTGCCCGAACTGCGTTACAAATCGTCAGTTTCAACATTCACTGTGTGCTGCGCTCTACAAATTTTCAGAAAATTTGCATATCAAACTCCATTTACGCAAATCTGAGAAAGAAGAAAGGAAAAGGAGAGAGAAAGATGTTTGATGTGGAATGAAGATTGAATGGTCAACTCACAGCACATGGGTAAGTTGGGGGCAAAATGGGAAAACAAGCATTCTTCTACTTACTTCCTAAAAATCCGTGCAAAAGCAAAGTATGACATATAAATCGGGACGGAGGGAGTATTTAGTTTTATATACTGGCATCAGAATGTAATATCATCATTTGCCTTTAATTACTTAAAGTCATACACAAGAAATATTATAAAAAAGGACAACATGATGGGTAAAATAACTCGTGATTTTTGTCAATTTTCCGTGTACACAGAGTCAGTGAACATACACATTTTCGTATGATTTCGTACTTAATTTTGTGATTTTTTTCTCATCTGTAATTTTGTATCTTACAAAAATAAATACACCAAATTCCGGAGAATGGATACAAATAAAATAAACTCTATTTAAACTACAAATAAGGAGTAAAGAAGCATCAAAATTACCGAACAAAGTTCGAGTATCTGATATGTTCTTTTCTCTTTACACCGGTGTGGCGGTGTTGTGGGGTTGGATTATTTAAATCTATATTAATGAACTGGGTTTGGTTACATAAATTTATACTATATGTAATATTTTTTAAAATTTTTTTAAATTTAAATTTATACTTTACCATTTGATTGTTTTTCTTTATAAATTACTAACCAACCACTCTATGGTAGATACATTATGTAGTCAATTGGAGCCATAATTATGGGTAAATAAACAATGTCAATAATCATATAAGGTATGACTAAATGCTATCAACAGTAATAACATTAAAATCAAAATTTATAAAGCCAATTAAATTAGTTGATATGCCATGATTATGGCATCCATCCTCAAACAATCATTTTAAGTATGTCAATTTTTTTTAAAAAACAAGTATGTCAATTTAAATGAAAGGAAAAAGAAACATGTTGATCGTTGAATTTTAATGAAAGGAAAAAAACTGCCATACAAAACACCTACATTATCTTACTAATTTTTTAACAAGTCATCAGAGTTCGCTAAAGATAATCATAGATAATATATTCTTTACATCCTCCCACATGCTCTGTCCCAGAGTGTGGGGAGCCCTTAGGGTTGAAGATTCAATCTTTTGGGATAAGGTAATATATTCTTAGTCTTTAAATTCAAGAAATTCTTACAAATTATGTAGAGATTTAGTCCTAAATTACACGAATCACAAAATAATTGTACTTCTACTACTAATGTAGTTTACAAAGAGGTTTTTAATAATTTGTAATTTAGTCTTTCTTTCAATAAATATATATTTTTTTTTATTGAAGAACAACACTTTCTTATTATTAATATAATATTTATCATGTGCATCGCACGAGACAATATCTAGTTTGGTTAATGAACCACACAATTGATGTAAAATATTAGGGTTTTTTTTTTTTTGGGTGTATAACGTCGTTATTTTGAACCCTTAATATCTAAGGGGTTGTTTGGTAAATACTCTATTAGCTGATTGGGTTAATAGGTTTTTAACTAGTTGATAACATTAGCTCATTCTAGAAAGATGCTTGGTAAATTAGTTTTTAACTATAATTAATTACATGCAAAATGAATTTCTCAAAAAAATTGATCGAAAAAGCTGCTTTGAACAGTTTTTTGAATTTTAGCATTTTGAAGTAATAGGCTGTTACAAAAAGATAATTAATCAAACACTTATATTGACTATTTAACCAAGTCAAACGGCTAATAATGGTCAAATAAGGCAAAATTGGCTAATAAACTATGTTACCAAACGTTATACCATGGACCAAGGTCCACCTTGTAAGGTGGACCCTGGTCCTAAATTATGTATTTCTAATATTAGAATTGTGAACATCTAAAATATAAATTGTGTTTCTAAATTTTGAGAATTTGTGCGTACAATACATGATCATCACAAATTGTAAATTTTTAAAAGATAAATTGTGAACATTTAATATGTAAATTGTGTATCTTTGGAACTGGGTCCACCTTTCAAGGTGGACCTGGGTCCACCTTTCAAGGTGGACCTGGGTCCACATAATAATTTGCCACCAACAATCGTTATACTGTGGACCCTAATCCTAAACGACGCCGTTTTGAACTTTAATTTTAATGGAGACCGTTTGTTTTTCAGTTCGCGTTACAGAGTTTTTTTTTTTTTTTTTAATTACTATAAAGCATGTTTGTGTGCATTATGTTATGCGTTTCTGTGCAATATGTTACGAAATTCTGTACATTAAGCATAAGGATTCTGTACATGAAATTAATTAGTAATTGTATAACACAAAACACATTGCATGTCTTATTTTACGAATTTATGTGTTATATTATGCAATTATGTGCCTATATGACATTAATTATTTACATAAATCAGATTTGAGAATAAGTAAAATAGAAAATATGTGTATGTATCTCGTGTTACGCATTTTTGTGCATTATGTTACGAAATTCTGTACATTAAGCATAAGGATTATGTACATGACATTGATTAGTAGTTGTATAACACAAAACACATTGTATGTCTTATTTTAAGAATTTGTCTTATATTATGCAATTATGTGCCTATATGACATAAATTATTTACATAAATCATATTTGAGAATAAATAAAATAGAAAACATGTGTATGTATATCGTGTTATGGGTTTTTATGTATCATGTTATGCATTTTTGTATATTAAGCGTAAGGATTATGTGCATAGAATAAATTAAAATTTTGTGTTGAAACATGAGAAACGGAAAGTTATGAAATTTGTTAAAACTTACATATCAAATAACATCGTTTTAATTCAAGGTCCACAATGCTGTGTGGACCCTAGTCCATGATATAACTTGCCCTCTTTATTGTGTTAGAAGTTGCAATTACATATTTTGTGCGATTATGCAAATGCCTAATGTATTTTTTTTTAAAAAGCAAATAAATATTTGGCATCGTTTGAAGGAAAAGAATTATTGTCTTTAAATATAATTTATAAATCTTTTTAACAAAATAGAGAAATAACAAATTCAAACTTTAGAATAATTTATTATAATAATAATAATAATAATAATAATAATAATAATAATAATAATAATAATTTAGCATTAAAATATAAATTCAAATAAAAATATAATAAACACAATTAACACAAAAAAAAACAAAAAAAAAACAAAAACAAAAACAAAAATAAAAACCAACTATTGGAGTCAATTAGACTTTTAAAAATAAAATTCAATTGTAGATATATAAGAAAACTCCAAATAACGTTTTTATTTTAACTTATTGACATTAATAAGTTAAGTGAAACAACAATTTATCAAACACTAATTTTAATCTACTTTATTATCATGTTTTAGCCTCAAATAAGTAATAAATAAGTTAAGTGAAACAACAATTTATCGAACACTAATTTTAATCTACTTTATTATCATTTTTTAGCCTCAAATAAGTAACAAATTATACCATGGACCATGATTCACCCACCTTCCATTGTGTAGCTTGGTCCAAAATTATATTCAAATGATGTGTCTATAATTAGAATTTATGTGCATTCGGGGTTTTCTCTAGGGTTTTCCCTCCATTCTCTGGTTTTCTCCGGTGCTCTCCGGCAGTTTTTCTAGCACGTTACTTATGCGTCGAGGTAGCGTTGCTCCCTTACGGTTGGCATGGCGACAGTAGGTTCCGTCAGTGGTGTTACAGGGATAACAGCAAGGTGGGCTGACATGGTTCTTGAGGACGAGGAAGTAGAGTTTGAGCTGGAGGTAGAGGACGATGGGGTGGTGGATGCCCGCGGTGAAGAAACATGAAAGTTGGTTAGTCGTTTCTTAATGAAAAAGCTTATCAAGATTGAATACATGCGCAAGGTTTTTGCTTCCCTGTGGCAACCGGTTAAGGGGGTTTAGGTAACAGAGATGCAACCAAAGCTGTTCCTATTTGTTTTTTTTTTTTTAATCATAAATCAGACATGGAACGGGTGCTGGAGGAGGGCCCCTAGGCATATGAGAATGCAACCCTGGTTTGCAGACAGGTAGTGGATGGTATGCTACCCGGGGACGTGTCTTTGGATACGGTGAATATGTGGGTTCAAGTTCATGATTTTCCCATGGGTTATACCTCGGATAAGATTCTTGAGCAAATAGGGAATTTTCTTAGTACCTTTATTAAGGGTGATGACAGATTTGTGGGTGCCCCATGGAAGACGTTCTATCGTATTCGGGTTGCCATTCCTGTTGATAAATCCATCAAGCGAAGAATGAAGTTTGTAAAAGAGACAAATCTACATGCTCGGTCACTTGTACAAGTTTTGCTTGAATGCAAGAGAGGCTACATTGCCGGTTGAAAACTACCTGTTTTCGGCCGAGCTGCGCGCTGGTTTCCATCGTGGTCCGAGAGTTGTTGGGGAGAGTTGGCTGGTGATGTCATATGGGCAGGCTCAGGTCGAGAAGGTGGAAGGGGCTACCAGGAAGGAGCTGCCGGCTCCAGGTGTGGCAGTGTTGCCGGCTGGTCGGCGGGACTCGGACCAGGCTGTGGTGGCTGTGACAAAACGACGGAGGGAGGGGCCGGCGGGCGGATAGTGGTATGGATGTTACTATGTCAGAAGCTTCAAAAAACTTGTTTTTGGCGGGTTCTGATTTCTAGGCCCGCCCGTCCTCATGAGTACCCTTAGCTGGAACAGTCTTGGCGACTTGGGCAATCCACGCACAGTTCGTGAAGTTGTGGACCTTGTGTCCCGTAAGAAGCTTGAGTTTGTTTTTTTAATGGAAACCAAGATGGGGCGGATACATGCCGAGCGTCTCCGCGTCAAGCTTGGCTTCGAATGTCTCTTTTATGTGGATAGTGTAGGTCGAAGTGGTGGCCTAGAGTTGTTTTGGAGGAAGAATAATACAGCTCGGTTATTAAGTTTTTTGAAGAACCATGTTGATGTTGAGGCAACTCATGCGTGTGATTTGTTGTGGCGTATGACTTGTTTTTATGGTTTCCCTGAGCGGTGTAGGAGGAGGGATTCTTGGGACTTAATTCATTCTTTGGTGTAGAGATCCACGCTTCCATGTGTTGTTTTAGGGGATTTCAATAATCTCCTATTTCAGCACGAGAAGATAGGTGGTAATCCACATCTAGATAATCTCCTTCGCGATTTTGGGGAAGTTGTCGATGGCTTTAGATGGTTGGTGTAGTATTTAGGGAGGGGCTTGTGTGGAGAATCTATTGACAATGGTTTCAGACCATTCGGCGATTTACCTTAACATTAGTGCGGTATTTGGTCAAGGTGGAGGACGACCCAATCAAGCAGTGGGGGGAGGGGGAGGGGGAGGGGGGGGGGAGGTGATCATTTTTACAAGTTTGGTGACCATATCAAGCAGTTACGCAATGATAAGCTTATGCTTAAACATCGTAGGAACCCAGCTTCTTTAGCTGAGTTTCAACGTCTTAAGGCACAACTGTGCCAGCTGGAGGCCCAGGAGGATGTTTTTTGGAGGCAGCGTGCGAAGCAACATTGGCTGAAGGGTGCGGATGCCAATACAAAATTCTACCACATGTATGCTTCTGCCCGTAAAAAGAAGAATATGATTTCCAGGTTAAAAAATAATGTTGGTGATTAGGTAGAGGGGGATGATATGAAGGTTGTTGTGTTTGATTACTTTAATGGTATTTTCTATTCTAGTAATTCTAGTTGCGAGGATCCTTTATTTGAATCTATGCCCCCCTGTATCTCCCCTAGTCAGAATGTTGGCCTGCTCAACCCTTTTGTGATTGATGAGGTAAAAACCGTTGTGTTCTTTATGTTTCCTAATAAGGCCCCTAGGCTTAGGGGTGAGCATCGGTCGGTTTCGGTCGGCTTTCGGTTAATAACCAAAATTTTAACTGAATCTTCATAACCGACCGACCAATCTTCATAATCGATATAACCGAAATCGATTGTTTTCGGTCAGTTTTGGTCTATTAAATATAACCGAATTTTTTAAGTAAAATTGCTAAATTTATTTTATTATATTTATTTCACTATCAAATATTCAGGCCTAAATTACAAGGTCCAATTAATCATAGCTTAATAAGGTGAACAACAAATGGATATTAATGTGGAAGAGAAGTTTGGAATCTTTTTAATTTACATGTCTTGGATATGAGACACTACATTTGTTGATTGGTTGGAGGGGATTTTTGGTGGTTGGAATAAACAGCAAGTTAATTAGATGTGTTGTTGCTGTGTTATAAGCCATTTGGGAGGCCAGAAATGACGCTACCAATACCTGGGAGAATAAGGTGACACTGCCCATGGGCCATGTCAGTGTGCAGGAGCGATGCTACAGCTATGGGAGGGTTACGGAGGCAGGTCGTGTAATCCAAATGCAGCTCCTAACTCGTCCACAGTGCAACCTTCACCTCTATCTTACATTTTCTTTTAAATTAATCTTCGATTTTTCAGTCGGTTGTCGGTTTTCTCTTGAAAAACCGATAACCGACTGAAAAACTGAAATAACCAAATTTTCCTTAATAACCGAAACCGAAATATTCGGGCGGTTCGGTTATCGGTCGTCAGTTTTTCAGTCGGTTCGGTTTTTTTACTCACCCTACCTTTGCTGGAGATTGAATTCGGATTTCTATCAGCACTTCTGGGATGTGGTTGGGAAAGATGTGTCTATTTTTGTGCTTCAATGTTTGAGTACTTGTTCCTTCCTTGTGGGTCTAACTGATACTAACATTGTTCTTATTCCGAAGAAATATTTTCTTGAGGCTGTGGCTGATCTTAGGCCTATAGCTTTGTGTAATGTGGTCTACAAAATCATGGCTAAGATATAGCTAATCGGATTAAACCGCTTTTAGGAGGTCTTATCTCTGAGTCCCAGAGTGCTTTTATTCCAGGTAGACTTATCACTGATAATATCCTTGTGGCAGCAGAGGTAGGTCATTGGACCTCTTTGGGCCCAAAAGTCTAAAATGTAGTCTCAAATCTGAAGTAGTTAATGACATTCTTGGTATCAAGATTTTATGATCTGCACTACTTCCAGATAATACCATTGCTTCTAAAACATGATTTCCAAGTTTAGTAATAACCATCATTGTCCCATTACACAAACCAACTGAGTGATCAATATTTCTCAAGAGCATAATTGGAGTACCTACTTTCAGCCTAAGTTCATGATTAGGCACACCAGAACACTTGATCCCATTCAAAAATTCAGGTGTATGCACATCAGCTAATAGATCAACATTAGAATCTGATTTGCAAGCACTGTCAAAGCTGAAATATGTATTTCCTTCAGATGTGTTTAAAGAAGACATATATTCATTGATAGAGTCAACCACATCAAGTGTTGGAGCCAATATTGCCCTCTTTTCCAAGTATGTTAGATCATAAAAAATATTGGAGTATGATGGATATGTACTTTCCACAATAGTTGCAATCGGATCTCCAAAACATTTCAACAAATTCTCTTATGGAATAGTAATGTTTTTCACATCCAATTGTTTGCCCCTGAGACTCCCCATCTCCTATATTCGCAATCCATTCTGAGAATTGTGTTAGTTTTTCAGAATCACTATTTGAGGATGAGTTTTGAAGTCGCATATTTTTTGTCAAACGTAACACTTTACAGTACAGCCACAAGTAGGATGCATTTATTGTTGCATTAACAATATCCTGCCTACTTCCTTTTGGGATAACTAGCAAAATTTGTCGAAAGTCTCCGCCAAATACAATAGTTTTCCCTCCGAAAGGCATCTCTAAACTTTTTTGGATTGCAAAAACGTAATACATCACGCATGCTTCTATCCAGAGCTTCAAAGCAATGCTTATGCATCATTGGTGCTTCATCCCAAATTATAAGTTTGCACTTAATAATGAGTTCTGCAAGCTGGCTACCTTGTTTGATATTACATACTAAAATAGTTATAAATATAAATAAATTTAGAAATAGTTATATTTATTACCGCTTTTGAAAATCACAAATCTCTTGACAATTTGCATCTACCACAATCTTGGTGGCATTTCATGTGTTAGATATTGAAACCTCACCTAAAGCAATAGAATAATGAGTGTAAAATATGAACACTACGAAACACAGAATATGCCAAAAACAGTAGAAAAAAAGTGAATACAGAATAGTAACTTACTGTTGTACATTTTTGCACGACAAAACTGAATGAGTAAAACAACTGGATTAGGGTTGTCATAGTTGACATGCTGTAATAGTTGATCAACATACTGCTCCCAAAATGTGTAAGGTAAACATCTCTCTCTGAAAAGAGAAATAAAAGATTGTGATAAGTCGTACACACATTAAGAAAACACATATAATCCATAATTAAGTGTAAACTTGATTAATATAACGTGACTTACTCATGATCCTGACGAACAAAGTCGATGAACTGTGTCTCCCGTCCATTAATTATGGTTGTACGCGGAGATTCAATCGAGACAACAGAACCAACCAATCTATATATATTTAGCATTATAATAGAATATGAAATACGTGAATATGTGTTATATAACTAACATATTAGCATGTCAATTATAAAACTAAAATTAACACAAATATATCTTGGGAATGAATATATTATGAAATTATATATATATATATATATATATATATATATATATATATATATATACACTAAAAGTGATGAATATACCTCAGAATCATGAAACACACACTCCTAAGTATGAGAATTGTAGGTGTTATTGTTGAATGTTGACTCATACATTCGGATTAGACGAACTTGTATCGCCCAATTCATGGAGGTAGCGGTGATTTGGTTAAGTAGATTGAAAGTGGGAGCCATATGAAAAGTTTGGCGTATGAAAACTACAGGAAGAGGATTGCACATGATTGAAAAGCATGACGAATGAGGTATTTATAACTATGAATTTATGCTTACTAAATTTATATATTTTATTATTTAAAGAATAAGTAATAATTTGCGGTCCAAATTATTTGTAAAATTATCAATTATATAATTACCGTACGCCAATTATGTAATTACCGTGAATTATGAAATTGTAGCAGTCGTTACAAAAAATTGTACGCTTTTCATTTGGTGTAAAATGCGTTGATCTTTAATTGCATTTTACTCCGTATTTTTTAAATTATTACTGAAGAACGTCGAAAATATACATGTTATGACAGTTGTAGCTAAGATAAGCTTATGAATTATGTATGCAAATTATATGTAATGATTCTATATACCAAATTTTTTATGTATGCAAATTATATGTAATGATTCTATATACCAAATTTATTATGTATGCAAATTATATGTAATGATTGTATATATCAAATTTATTTACGTATAATGAGTAATGACTTTATTTGTATGATTATATGCCAAAAAAGATGATTTAATTAAGGATGATTTAATTAAGGATGCAAATTGTATTATTATATGCAAATTGTATACAATATTATGCATTTCCGTGTTGGTAAGCTTTATATATATAACTAGTATGATACCCATGCGATGCATGTGATGAATATTGTTCATTTTATTGTGTAATTGTGTGAAAAATTTAAGAGATGATGTAATATATAAAAAGTTGGAACGGAAATATAAAATGAAAAATAGAAACAATAAAGAAATTACTTTAACATACAATATAGAAAAATAAGAGTGACAAAATTACAAATTATTGAAAATTTTGTGGTATATACCATGTTGGTTGTTGATGTATAGATCTATTATAATTTTCTGAGTACTTTTTAGTTGAATGTACGTAGACGTAGCAGCCTGGTTATCCCGGAACATATTGTTTATGGTTGTGCATGTTGGTGTTGATGTAATTTTTCTAAATCTTATTACAGTTTCCTAACATTTCAGGCGACTATTGGGTTAATACAAAAGAGAAAACATAGGCGAACCACCATTTTCACCAAAAGATTAGTGGTTTTTAGTGCTAACAGTTTAATAAAAAGACATAGATCATTGACTACATGATAACTACACAATATGTTCTACTATATTTATGTTTTTGAAATGAGAATGAAATACCTTTGTTTTGATGATAATGTTTCCTCTTTGACCGAATGGTGCATGAAGATGTAATCTTCCTCATGGTCTGTAATCGCAATGCTTACCCGTTATATTTTGTGATGGAATGTTCTTAGTGTCTTCTGCCACCCTTTTGTTTGTAACTTCAATCTTAAGTTAAGGCTCATTGAGAAAGTAGTCATTAATGGCTAACCATAATTATTCCCATAAACATAAACATTTTATGGGAAAACAAATATGCCTACTGGAGTAATTGATTTTGATTGGCTTAAAAATAAATGTTGCACTAAAAATAGATAGAAACCAAATAAATCCTCACGAATATTGTGTGTTTTTTAGCCTAGTAATTATCAATGGTAAATGATTAATGGAAATAAAATATGAAAAATATTAATATTCTATATACTAAAATTATGTTGAATATTATATATATATATATATATATATATATATATATATATATATATATATATAATATGCAAGCTACTGTAATTTTTGTTCGATAAATGAATTAAGTTTAACGAACTAAATTTGAAAATATTGGAAGCTACTGTACCTAATAATTATTATATATTTTGTTTAATTTTGCAATGAAATTAGAGATATATATAGACTAAAAGATAATCTATATAATCTATATATATTTATACTAAAAGTGACGATATACCTTAGAAACATGAAACACACACTCCAAAGTATGAGAATTGTAGGTGTTATTGTTGAATGTTGACTCGTACATTCGGATTAGGCAAACTTGTATCGCACAATTCGTGGAGGTAGCAGTGATTTGGTTAAGTAGATTGAAGGTGGGAGCCATATTGAAAAGTTGAAAAGTTGAAAAGTTGAAAAGTTTAGCGTATGAAAATTTAAAAGTATAGGAAGAGGATTGCAAATGAATGAGAAGCATGACCAATGAGGTATTTATAACTATGAATTTGTGCAAATGAATTATAAATGAATAATTTGCGTTCCAAATTATGTAATCCAAGGATGCAAATTAAGGATGATTTAATTTAATTATGAAATACTAAATACTAATACTAATAGCTATTGCATGATTTTCGTGCATAGTAACAAATGAATAATAATTCCTGCATACTAAATACCATAAATTACACGTGCATACTAATTATAGTAATAATAATTCGTTAAGGCTAATAGGATGCATGATTCCGCGTTTCTGTATGTGAATAATTCGTTTTGTAAGGCTAATTCGTTATATTATTATTATTATTATTATTATTATTATTATTATTACTATTATTATTATTATATAAATAAATAAATAAATATCATGCCCTTTAATAGACTATTTTTTTATATGGTAATTAATTTCATAATTACAAATACAAATTACTAAATGTAGGGAGACTTTTGCGACATTTCAATATGCTAAATAATTTTAAAATAATTTATTATATCATTTCAAACCTTTTAATAAGTTATTTTTAAATTAATATATATAATTAAATTATTCTACCCAATTATATATATCATTCATAAATCTGATCCAGATAACTATATATGATGTACGATATATATATATATATATATATATATATATATATATATATATATATATAATATTATCCTATTATACCTATATGTAATTCTGAAATTGACAGTTACATACGTTCATATGGAAATAATTATTATATAGATAAATATTCTGCCTTTTAATAGACTATTTTTATATATAGTAATTAATTTCATATTTACAAATAAAAATACAATATGAAAAAGTAATGTAAATCTTTAATGTAAAAAAATACACAGAATTGAATCATTGCATGCCCTTTGCCCAATTGAAACAAATTTCTCGAGATATATTGTTGTAGCAAAGAACGCACTTTAGTCCGACTTCATTGCAATGTTGCCTAGGATCCACCCCACGAAGTCGCCACATTCCCATTACACGCGTTTATAGATAGGAATCAGGCGCTCCCAGAACTCCCTAGTCTTCCAGCATTTCCTTATTACAATATGATCAGCATCTTCATCAACCTCGGGGCAGAAGACACATGTGCCATCAACAGGGAGAATTCTCTCTTCACATTGCACATGATGCATTGATGGTAGAAGGGCGGTGTATTCTGCCCTTCAATGGGCTTGGGATATAATAATAATAATAATAATAATAATAATAATAATAATTTTTATAGAGATATACACAATGTATGTAAATAAACAACTATACACACACACACACACACACACACACACACACACACACACACACATATATATATATATACATATATATATATATATATATATATATATATATATATACATACATTATTTTTCGTATGAATAAAACAAATATATATATTTTTTATTTTTAAACAAATATATACAGTTTATATATAGTTGTACACTTATTTCTTGAATCTAAATGAAATCAATAATAATTTTTTTTAAGCAAAACATATTAACCGTATAATTCATAAATACTTTTTTTTTTTAAGTATAAATTTTTATTTAAGTAATCAATTGAGTCATTTCATATGCCAAAACATTCAATCAATTCGTTATCAACCAACATATCCATCACTTTGGAAAATATTTTGGGTAAAGTAAAAAGAAAACAACCACTTACCGTGAAATCTTATTTTCTCAAATTTCTCTAAGTCTCAATTGTTCAAATCCTCATCTTCTATCAACCAACATCATCATCAACAATAAAACAACACAAGATACACATAAGCACCCGTAAAATGTTAAGGTCCCTACTTG